TCCTTATAAGTACAATTTTTCACTCTGTCAGTTACTAGTGACACTACAAATCCTCTTTCCGGAAGAAGATAAACAAATCGGTCATGCACATCTCACCTTTTTATTGCTTAGGATCCAAAAAACATATTTCATGTATGGCAAGTGCTCAGATAAGATTATTTTTCATCATTCATTTATCAAAGCAGCTTTTACGTTACAAAGATCACAGAGGATGGAGCTATGTCACGGCCAGCTGGCAAACAAATAGGGCATGTCTAATTAATGGTTTGTCTTTAAACCTCCAATTCCAAAAGGTACATGCTATAGTGCAACTAATCAAAGTTTAACATGGAGCAAAAAGTCTCAGCATGACCGCTTAGGACCTTCAGGGGACAAACACGTGCTTGTGTTCTATAATCCAAAAAAGAAAGGATTTAAAGGTTTCCGGTATCAGCTGCTCATTTCACCACTGGATTTGTGTGCAGATGAAGGTTATAGCAATGCGTGATGTTGCTGATGTAAAGGTACGCTGCAGCCTAAACTGTGCATTTAAAACGGATCTAAACCTATCATTTAACTGATTCTCAAAATGACATTCAAGTCATAACATTAATAACTGTCACAGTTGCTTGTGCTGTCAAAAGAATTGTCAAGCCATCAAATGGCTAGTGTCATAACTGATCACATGTGCAGCACCATGGCAACTGCAGATCAAACAAGGATTAAGATGACAGCTGCCTTGGCTGTAAAGAGTAGGAGGGTTTTGATCCACTTTAAACTGAAGCAGGGGTGTGGAAATGTTTTAAAAAACTACTTGTACTTGTCCAGGGACTAAATCGGTGTCCCAATCTACTTATCCCTCATGACAATCTACTTGTCCAGATAAAAAAATTTTTTTTTTAACTAAAACTGTATTTAAATCTGCTTTAAAGTAATGTCGGCGGCTTTTAAAAACAAAAGGGGCTTTATGGCGACTTAAACATTAATATTGCGCTGTTTATGTCCTCCTCCCCTCCTTGCCTGTTTCCAGCACCGCACCCGGGCACTAGCATGGAGGGGGGAGACCTTGTAGTGTAATGAGCACTGATTGGGTGCTTGTCAGGAAAGGGACGTGTCCAGCTTATCCTTTATCCCTTTCACTGCCAGAGTCACTTTTGCGTTTTTTGCACACGTTTAAAAAATATTTAAGGCCTGAAGATTATACAAAACTTCCAAAACATTATATATTTCTGGAATCAGAGATCCTAGAGAATAAAATCGCGGTAGTTTAATTTTTTATGTCACATGATATTATCACAATAAATACACTTAAGTTAGGGCACAAAAGTAATAAATTATCCAATTTTTTTGTAAAATATAAAGGGCAAGGTTGCATCGAGTAAATAGATATCCAACATGTCAAACCATAAATTTGCGTGCCCTTGTGAAACGGAAACAAACTTTAGTACCCTATATTTTCTATAGGTGATGCTTTTAAAGCCCCCTTATAGGTCATCAGTTTAGTGTTACCGTGCAGGTCTGGTGATAGAATTATTGCTCTCATTCTGGCGTGTGCGGCGATCTGCAACATGTGTATCGCATTTGCTGTTTTCATGTGTAGGCGCCCCAGCGTGTGCTTTTACGTTTGTACGTGTATATATGTGGGGGGGGGGGGGGGGGGGTTTTATATGCTTGGGTGTAATTTACATTTTTAAAAAATATAAAAAAAAACATTTTTACTTAACTTTTTTTTTATCACATAGGGGACAGAAAGTCCATGTAATGATTTTTTGGTGACAGGCTCTCTTTTTTGAGGCATCCAGGCTCTAAAAGACCCTGCATGTCTCCCCTGTACTACACTGAATGTAATGCAGTGCACATCGCACTGCATTACATTCTTTCCCGGCCTAGATGGGCAGAAATCAGTCAACAGGGCCCCACCCTACGCGGTACGGCCCCGTGAGGATGTTGTGACGAAACGCGTAGGACGGGCCAGTTGGATGCTGATGTCAGTACGCTCCCTGTGATTGCCGGAAGGGATCTGAGGCAGGCGGAGCTTTTCTTTGCCTATGCGATTGATGCTGGTGTCGGTTTAGACATCTTATTTGTGAGTGAGTTTAATCTTTTCATAAACGCATATTGTTTAAGACATGCTGCACCATTATGTTCTTTCTTTGTCCCTGAATATGGTCCCAATGGCTATGGAGATATGGTGATTACCTATTCATGAAAGAGTGGCTGCAGAGTATTCCTCCTGACTATCTTGAATCTGCCTATAGTACAGAGGGGTGTTTCTTATCTGAAAGTTACTACTGCAGCATTGCACCAAAAGTCTGGAATTTGCTTCTTTCATCGCTCCCAGAGCAAAAGCGCTTATGCTGGTCTATAATCTGATCAGCATATAGCTCTGGTGAGTTTATTCAATTTATTCGGTGGTGGATTGATCACGGTGTTATATATTTTTTCACACAATGATTTTTGGATATGTTTGGACTTTTACATATTGATTTATGGACACTTTTATTTGTTTTTTTTTATTTATTATTAGCGCATTCCTATGTTTATTTTATTTTGATGACAGAAAATTTTTTTCTTGGATTCGGATTTGCTGCTATACATGATTAAGTGTGTGGCGCTTTTCTAAGATCACTTTATTTTTTTACTATTTTGGGCCAGTTTTCCTTTGATAATAAAAAAAAATTAGGAGCTATCCATTACCATTTACCACCAAATGAAATCCCAATTTGTCCTGAAAAAAACAAGGTATAATCCACCTGGATGTACAAAGTAGTTGTGATGATATGTACGGTTTTACTATCACATGTCAATGTTGCAGAATTGTGCTTAGGCATTTAGATTTGTTTTACCCTTAGGCATGAAGGGGTTAAAATAGTAGTAGGGGTTAGGTTAAAATAAAAGTATGACGGTTTCCATTGCTAAGCTCCTTCTCTAGTTGTCCGGCTGTTATGCTGATGCTCAACACTTTTTGAGTGAATGATCTGGAATGAGTTCAGAGCAGGAAAGTCAGAGTAGTCAGAAGTCCTTATCTTCTAACCCATTTTGAGTTAGTGGCTTAAAGTGTATTTGCACTTTTGCAGCCAAATTGAGATAATACCTTCTTTATATTTGTTACATGTTCTCATTCGCATTGCATAACTTAAAAATTGCTCCTTACATTTTAAGTGCTTTTTACTTGCTTAAAAATCCCACAAAGCTCCCCCTATGTAATGTTACTGAATGACTATAAATGATATCTTTATTCTCCAAACAATAATCCATAAACATTCACTACTTAATGGCCCTGTCATTTATTGTCAAGCCTTTCTAAGGCTTCATGCACACTAGTGTTTATTTAGGCACCTAGAAGCTATTAGCAGCATTTTTTTCTGCTCCTAGAAGCCAAATAGTGTTATCCAGGGGTGGACTGACCATTTGGAAACTCAGGCACTGCCCGAGGGCCCGGGGTCAGTAGGGGGCCCCATGAGATGCCCCTGGTACCTTTTTCATAGGCTTTTTTGAGTTTGGGCAAGGACACAGGGGCCCCATGATCCCCTGTTGCCCGGGGCCCCATGAGTTGTCAGTCCAATGGTGTTATCCTATGTATCTGTGCACACTACTTTAGGATATTAGCTTTTTTCTGAGCTTCAGCATCTAGGAGCAGTAAAACATTGTTTTTGTAGTGTTTTTTGGAGCATTTTTTCCGGACAAAAAAAACCACTACTAAAACGCTCCTAACAGCTTTTTTTCTAGCTTAATTTTTTTTCCCCTCTACATGTACTGTAAAAATGCTAACGCTTCTAAATGCTTTTGAATTCTACTAAAACGCTTCAAAAAATGCTATTACTAGTGTTTTTCTATCCAGTATTTTTCCCAGCATTTTTTAAATTAAAAAAAAAAAACACTAGTGTGCATGAGCTTTAATTTGTATTTTATGCTGTAACTTCCTCTGTGAGCACCCCAACTTCTTCCTTTTTCCTTCATTTCTGTTTGTTTGGAACAAACAGTGCATGTTAGTTGTGGCCATGTGCACTACTATGGCAAAATCCCATAGTCCTTCTTGGGAGTGAGCAAGAGAGGGTGTCTACATTCCTATATACTGTACATTGGGGACCATGGAGAACGAACATAGCTTCCCCTCTAACAGAAAGTCTGATCACAGCAGAAAAAAAAAGAAAATGTAAGGTTTGGAGGAGGCTGAAAGCAATAGAAAGGACTTTTCTGAGTAAGAAGGCATACGTAAATAGAATTTAGTGTCACTTTAAAGAGTTAGTGTAGTTAATGCTATGTGAATGGGAACACACAACAAATATATAGTGGGGTTTTCTCAAATTTCACTGCAGACATAGAAATACACTTTAAAGTATTGAAGCCATGACATCAGCATGACAGCCAAGTAACTACTCTTTGTTAAATGGCAGCCAAAATGTTTCTCTGGAAGGGTTTCCTTTAAGGATTTGGGGTTTAGCCAAAATAAAAAACAGAAAAATCAGCACAAAGGACATAACTTACAGTCAGTAAATATGTGTCACTTGCGCTGATGCCTCTTCTTTTAGGTACATTTTTTTTTCTGTTCATGTCCCCTGGCCCCTGCTATAATCGCCTGGGGTTAATAGAACTAAGAGACTCATCAAGAATGCTGACAATGCCTGCCCTTTCCACCCAGCTCTGCCATTCCTAGAGGCCTACTACATCTTCTATTAATGAATCACATGTTCCTTGTGCTGGTACTGTACTGTCACTATAGCTTCCATGAATGGAGGATGGATGGATGATTGAAAGGTCTAACTCCTCCATTCATAGATGGTGTTTCATCTTAGGATTCTGCTCCATCACATCCAAACTTTAATTCCCCAACTAAAATTTTCATTGCAGATCTGAGCTTCATTGAGTGCATTGGGGCAACTAACTCTTTTCAGATTTAGCACACAATGAACCAGGATCCCCTATACATTATTTATCTGTGTATTTTGCTATATGTCCAGGTACTTTATGTGTCAAGCTATAATAAGACAGCTTTAGTCATATTGGCAGTATTTTTTTCCTGCTATTTAAAACTTACCTTTATGATTGTCACAGGAGGAAACAAGCTGAAGAATCAGCACTTTCGTCTGAACTGGGCCTGGATTTCAATAGAAAAGGAGTACTATGTGGTGAATGAAGATGCCAAACATTTAGAGATCATCTTGAGGCGTAGAGGATACCTGGGAGAAACCTCATTTGTTAGTAAGTTGTTGAAATTCTTATCTATTCCATATTGTTCATTAAAATAATAACCATGTGATGCTAAAACACTTGGCATTTTTATCTCATTTGTCACCAAAGGGTCTGTTGTAGAGAGGAATAACAAGACTCTCTGTAGCTCTCAGGTGCTATGCAACCATTTCCTCTCTGTCTCTATGCTGCTTTTCCCAGATTGTGTCCAGGATAAGGATGACCATAAACAGCCCAATTCCTGCAAGTAGTACAATCAATTAAAGCAACGCATTTGATAGAGAGGGCTATGAAGGGCTATGGAGCAAGGGGTGCTTCCAGCTGTGCTCACTATTTTTTCCCAGAGATTTTTCAAGGTGTTGGAAGATTTCTGAATCAGTGGGCAACTGGCCTTTTTTTTTTTTTACAAAGAAATGGCAATGCCCCCAACCTTAAACTAGCCTTTGCAGCAAGGAGTACATAGAAAGGCAATGCACACCAAAAACAAATAAAAATTCCTAGCTCACTTACCATCCAACCTGCAACAAAACTGAACTGACCCTATCTAACACTTCATGTTTAAAACAAGGGGTTTAGTTGCACACATTTGCAAATATACAGTATGTGTAAGCTGCAGTGGCCACTTTAGGGCACCCAAGTGCACTGCAGTCCTAAAGCTATAATTATGAGAGTCTTCCAAATTGGAGCACATATAGTAGTAGACAGATTAAAGGCAGGTGTGCCTGGAGGGAGCCCATCCCTTAAAGATACAGGGATGCACTGGATACCCAGCAAGGGTACAATGACAGCTGAAGGTTTTCAGTACATTCCAGCAGCAGTTCACTAACTTAGAAAGAAATGGCAACCATCCCAACCTATAACCAGCCTTTGCAGCATGGAGCACATGGAAGGGCAACGCATGTCAAAAACAAACAAAAATTCCCAGCTCACTTACCAGCCAGCCTGCAACAAAACAAAAATGACCCTGTCTATCAGTTAATGTTAAAAACAAGGGGTTTAGTTAAAAATAGAGAAAAATAGGCCTGAGAATGCTCTATATACCAGGTCACCAAAAGGTAAAAACCTTCCCCTTTGAAGAGATAGCTGCAGATAGTCGCAGTCAACTAGACTTGATTGTAATGGCAAAGATGTTTTGCCAAGTAGCTTCTTCAGTTCTAAGTTCTCATTACAATGGAGGGAGCTACTGGTTGAATTGTAAAATGGATTCAGTATTACAGAACAAGTCCAGCTAATTGCAACTAACTACTGTTAGATATTATACATGACACATATAAGTGAAAACCTTCAGAGACACCGTAGAAGAGTTATGAAAAGTTTAGAGAAGTAGATAGAGTTTATTTGGTGACTGAAGAAAGTAAACTATACTAAGCAGAATTATTGCATGAGTTATTATTAACAATGGCATAGCTTTAAAGGCTAAGTTCACCTTTATAAATAAATAAATGCACATGATTTTGCTGGGAAAAAACAATTGTATTCTTTTTACACCGTAGTCTGCAAAACACTGTAATGTCAGGCTCCTGCAGACACTCAGTACAGTTGTCTGCCCGTACCTCCCACCCGTACAGACAGACAGTTAATAAGATTCACTCATTGAACAAATGATGGCAGCTGTGTGGGTGGAGTCCTGCACAACTGTGCTGCTTTTAAAATGTGATCGTGGGTCAGGTGCCCACTGTCACGGGAAGGGGGGGGGGGGTTTGGTGAAAGGGGTGAGGGGGACTGTTCCAAGGTAACATGTTACATAATACACCCTACATACGGATGTAATGTTACAAAAGGTAAACTTATCCTTTAACTTCCTGTGACAAAATAAGAAAGACACCTTAAGGTTATATAAGACCATAAAGTGGAACTAAATGTACAGGGTTCTTAAAAGTGCTCATTATGGCAAACTTGCCCTCTAGAGTGGCCTCTTCCAGTGATGAGAGGTCTGTGCCCCCACCCCCATGCATACACACTTACTCATCACTATTAATTTTCTACACTATATTGCCAAAAGTATTGGTCAGCCTGCCTTCACACGCATATGAACTTTAACGGCATCCCAGTCTTAGTCCGTAGGGTTCAATATTAAGTTGGCCCACCCTTTTCAGATATAACAGTTTCAACTCTTCTGGGAAGGCTGTCCACAAGGTTTAAGAGTGTCTATGGGAATGTTTGACCATTCTTCCAGAAGTGCATTTGTGAGGTCAGGCACTGATGTCGGATGAGAAGGCCTGGCTCGCAGTCTCCGCCCTAATTCATCCCAAAAGTGTTTTATTGGGTTCAGGTCAGAACTCTTTTGCAGGCCAATCAAGTTCCTCCACCCCAAACTCACTCATCCATGTCTTTATGGACCTTACTTTGTGCACCGGTGCGCAATCTTGTTGGAACAGGAAGGAACTGTCCCAAAACTTCCCACAAAGTTGGGAGCATGAAATTGTTCAAAATGTCTTGGTATGCTGATGCCTCAAGAGTTCCCTTCACTGGGGCCAAACCTAACCCCTGAAACACAACCCCACACCATAATCCCCCCTCCACCAAACTTTACACTTGGCACAATGCAGTCAGACCATTCTTGGTACTGCCCCCCTAAAAAATGTCGCCCTAGGCAAGTGCCTTGTTTGCCTTGTGGGAAATACACACCTGACTGTACCACACTTGAATTCACTGAGCTTCTGAGAGTGACCTATTCTTTCACAAATGTTTGTAGAAGCAGTCTGCATGTCTAGGTTCTTGATTTTATACCCCTGTGGCCATGGAGGGGATTGGAACACCTGAATCCAATGATTTGGAGGGGTTTCCCAATTATTTTGGCAATATAGTGTATATTCAAAGCAAGTTCACCCATCCAAACACGTCTCCATGTTTTATTGTGCAGTGAGATGACTGAAAAGTACCCCCACCCAGCAATTCTAGCCATGGCCATCTTGAGTAAGGGCAGATGATTCATGTAGCATTTACTTCTTGGAATCCATCTACCCTTAGCTCAGGCATGCATACAGGAGGGTGTGCTTAGCTGAGAAAACCTCTCCAGATGAAAAAAAATGACCCTTAAGACTCCTGGGATGTATGACATCATTTTGACCTAGTCCAGAAACCATGAAGCAACTGTAGAGATGAAGAGAAGGAAACAAAATTTAAAAAAAAGTTTAAAACAAGTAAATACAATAAAATCTACCTTCATATCTATTTATTAAAGCTATCAGCATTAGGATTAAAAATCGATAATGTTGATTGAACGATTATATTTCTGCTTTAAGAATAGTTAGAGTTGGGCTTTACTACTACTTTAAACAACAAATGCAAAAAGCTACAATTGGAGTTTAACATTTGCTCAAGTGGTAGGAATTTCCCACCAATTAAGAGGATTTTTCAATTTTATTTTTATATGAAAAACCCTTTTCTAAAAACATCAAATGTGTTATCAAGTTAGATAGCCTTTAAACAAAAAGCATGTTTGATTATTTGTATCTGACATACTACTACTGTAAAAAAACATATCACCTTTTGAAGGATCTATTCTGTTTCTTCTAATGACCCCTTCTAAAAATGAAAACCTCCCTGTGGACTAAACCCATTAGGCCAAGCATGAAGCTATAAGACAAATGAAAGAGCAAAAAAAAAAAAAACAACAAAGCCCGACAGGAGATCACCACTTGCCAGCCATGCCGCTGTGAGTTGATTTCATCAGGTTGTAACCAATTCCCTCCTCCCCCCTGGATTTGGACTTCTTTTCAGTCTGTTTGGCAGTCAGAGTTGAAAGGAGAGGTGTTGAAAACTAATCAGTGTCCAATGAGCCAAAAGGTAAAATGGAGCGCTCTATCCTGTTCTACACACTGACATTTAGTTCTGGCTACTGCTGTGTGTCTTTTAACAGATCCTGTTAACAAGAGAACTGTACACACAAATTACCAAATCTCTTTTATGATCTCAAAGGAAACATTATTTTATAATATATATGTAATATTTGCTATAATTTTATAGAAAAAAGTACATTTTCATTAAATTAAAAAAAAAATATTACTTGTAGGTTTTACAAGATCTGTTTACAAATTTAAAGTTAAAGCTGATTTTAAAATATAATACTAAAGTTCATGCTGATTAAAAAAATATAATGTATATTTTAATAACATATCATTTTAATTGCTATTTTTAGCTACTTACTAACTTAATATATTTTTTGTTTATTTTGTTGATATAAAAATGAGGGTATATGCTGTATAAACATGGCTAAAGTGTATTACCAAGCAAAAAGTTTTGCAGGAGTTTTAGGATGGAGTGGGGAAAGATTAGAACCCCTGTCGGGTTTTTACTATTTTGCTTTATTTACTATTGTGGTAACAACAGCTTCCACAGGGAATTGAAAAAAGCAGGTACAGGGTTAGCAATAAAAAGCCTTCCTGAATTTTTATTTCTGTGTTGCTGTTGGGAATTTTGACCCCCCTCCCCCCAACCCCCTGTCCAGTCACCTGGTTCACAAAAATGCATTTTTAGTGCTTTTTGCAGAAACACACTACAGTCCATCTAACATGTTTTTTTATGGGACATGTTCACATCTATGCTTTTTTGATCAGCTGCGTTTTTGGAAAGGGTCAAGGACTTTTTTTATGCAAAAAGCAGCATTTTTGCTACAACAGAGTTCAGTGCATGTAGTACGTTTCTGCTGCGTTTTTGCAGTGTTTTGCGTTTTATTCTGCCCAGTAACAAAAAAACAAAAATTAAGAAAACGTGGTAAAAAACACAGCAAAAATGCATGTGTAAAAAGCATTGCAAAAATAGATCAAAAGCAAACTGCGTTGGTGTGAACCAGACCAAAGTGAGCAGAAATCACACATTTAGGACCGGTTCACACCATGCCCCGAGCTGAATTGCACAAGAACGTGCTGTGCATTCCTGTGTGAATCATCTGTAGCTCTGTGCAATGCAATTTTAAGCCCATTCATTTGAATGGGCTGAAATCGCACCACACCAAAAGTAGTGCTTGCACTACTTTTTGAAACGCTTGTCAACCTCATTGCATGGTACTT